CTTAAATCCTTTTTGATTATATATATATATATATATATATATATATATATATATAAAAGCTTTAATGTGATTTTAAAGTTTTTAAATTTACTTAACGTTTAAAGTATGAATGGTTTATTTGCTAATCAGTTATAAACCTTGTTGGACTTTGTGATAAAGGTTATTGCTGACATTAAAATCAACTGTACGCAATAAGATGGGTTACTTCTGTAATAAACGGAAATTTGTTTGCTGTCAGAAAATGTTATATATTTGAAATTTTTTGGTGGAAGATTGTAACTTTGATATTTCTATTTCTAAAGTTCAAACTTACGAGTTATTTAATTTTCTTTTCAGCCCTTTCTATGGTAAAAATCATGTCAGTTTGACAGTTTATTCAGACTGAAGTAACATGGCTCAAGAACTGCTCTACCAAGACAATACTTTGCAGGCGACATTTTTCGGCAACCTCACTACAGTTCCAGAACCTCCTTCTAGACTAGTTAACATATTCATCAGCTCTACAAAATCAGGTTTGTTTGAAATTCTTACGATTACTTTCTAATTAGCTTCCAAGTTTGTCAATTTCTATTTTTTATGATTGCTTTTTATTGTTAAAACTGTCAATAAATTGATAAATGTACAGTGCCCAAAAGAAATAACAGACGAGGGAACTCTGGGATCAAATATTGGAAGAAATTAGCCTTCGTTGAGGACTTCTTGATTGACTAACCCACCTTTGCGTTACATGGAGAGGAAAACCAAGAATGGTTAGCCTGACGAACCTACCATGGTAAGTCTGATAGCAAGGGTACAACTAGGGGACCCGTCTACTATTGAGGATATTTTACAACAGCACTGTGGTCGGTGGTGCGAGCAGGGTGCGGAATTCATGTCGACCATCTGTCGAGGGGATTTGAACTCTGCCACCTCATTGGGAGACGAGTGCTCTATCCTGTAAATCACAAAGTATTTTGTTATTGGTAAATTCATATTAATCTTATTGCTCTAAAAGGAAAATAAAACACTATATCAAATCAGCGTAAGTATTTAAATTGAAGCAACACGCGAACAAAATAAAATGTGATCTTATTCATAAAAATGTTTGAGTTCCCCTACGGAAATTCATTCGGTAAAAAAATCAGTTACCATATCTGTTTAAAAACAAACCTTAGATATAGTTCTGCAGCACACAAAATTGTGTGAAATAATTTGTTTCCATTCTATAAGGATACAGACTAGTAAGGTATTGTTTCGTAGAAATTTTTTTCAGTTGAATCGAATAAGACCGAACAGGAATTAAAAGGGTTTTATTTTAAGCGTTGAAATGTTTTTTTTTTATATTTATGTAAAATGTACCATTTTTATTTAGCATTTATTATGAAAAAAAAAATCTTATGACTTCAAAATTATCAACTTATCAACTAGAATTTTATCTCATTCAACTCAGCATAAAAGTTTTCGTCGTAAAATGTACCTTACACGATCCGATAGACCCCAGATAGCAAACAAAATTTGTACATAAGTCATACATAAAAATAGTATTATTTATGCGTGAAACAGTGTTAACTATTAGCAATATTTAAACAACTTGTTAACTATTGGTTCTATTAACTCATGAGCAAGTTAGCGCAAGAAATTACATAAGTAACAATATACTCATTACAAATTCAAATCTATACTTTTTGTATATAAGCTACTTATAACATCTAAACTATTTGTCCGATCCTTTCACGATCCAGCATGTAAAAATAACATTAGGAAAAAATACCTCACTTGCCAATCTAGAAAAATTCGATCCTCTCCCACGAATCTCCCCTGTTTTCCTCAAAATGGGGAGAAGTAGAAGGTTCTCGGGTATCTTTAGGTATCCTTTATGAGGGCATGATAAAGATTTTTGTCAAAAAATATTGGTTATTGCATTTTACGAAGTATCATTTTACGGAAATATTAAGAAAGCTTAACTGATACCAGATTGCATGCTTAAAATATTTTTTCTCGCTGTTGAGTGAAAAGATATGATGAGGTCAAGCTCCTAACCAAAATTTTATGTTTTCATTATTGCAGTTTTCTATCCTTTTTTGGAGATAAAGATTAATCGTAATATTTTACTATTTTACATTAGTTAGATTATAATATTGATACGGTAAAATGTTGAAAATAACGTATTCAAAAAATTTTACGGTATAATTGATATATATTATTTTGCTAAATTGCAAATTTGACGAAATAATAATTACAATTAATTTTACATTCACCAAATTTGCGTTTTATATTAGATACTAATTAACGTCATTAATTGCAATGAATAGAACTACAGGGTGCCCCGTAAATGTTGTGGCAAGCTTCTAGAGGAAGTAGGGCACATCATAAGGATTAAGAATTGACCGGAAATGTTATAAGGGCACTTTTCTCTTTTGAACTGTTACATAGTGTGCCTTTGAACACTTGCCACTTTTATTTATCTAAATTATCATAATTTTTTTTTGTTTTTTATTGCTTTCAGTCAGAGACTAATATATAGCCAGAGTATTAGCTGTTTTATCTTAATTTAATGATTTGACGACTCTCTGGACAAGCTCGTCTAATCATTAAATTACGATAAAAACCACATTTCTGAACCTATTTTAATGGGACTCTCGACGATGACTAATAGTAACATAAGAGCCGCGATGGCTCAAGAGATAGTTTTCGCCTTCCAATGAGGTGAACCGGGTTCGAATCCCACGATGGCTGGTCGATACGAATCGGCATTCGGCTTGCAACGACCACAGTGCTGACGTGAAATATCCTCAGTGGTAGACGGATCATGGGCTAGAGTCCCCTTGCAGTCAAGCTAACGGTGGGAGGTTTAGTGGTTTTTCTCCCCGTGTAACGCAAATGCTGGTTATTTCCATCAAAAAGTCCTACACGAGGATAAATATCTCCCAATACTTGAACCAGCTTGTCTTCTGGATTGGGTTCAAAATTACAAGGCTACGGCATTGAACATTAGTAGTCGTAAGCCCAAAAATTGGGTCGGTTGTTCAACGATGGTTATAAAATAATATAAAATAATAGTAACATAAGAGCCGTGATAGCTCAAGGGATAGAACGTTCGCCTTCCAATGACACGAACCGGGATCGAATCCCAGCGATGGCTGGTCGATACGAGTTCCGCATCCGACTTGCACCGACCTCAGTGCCGACGTGAAATATCCTTAGTGGCAGACGGATCATGGGCTAGAGTCCCCTTGCAGTCAAGCTAACGGTGGGAGGTTTAGTGGTTTTTCTCCCCGTGTAACGCAAATGCTGGTTATTTCCATCAAAAAGTCCTACACGAGGATAAATATCTCCCAATACTTGATCCAGGAGTTTCCCTGTCTTCTGGATTGGGTTTAAAATTTCAAGGCTACGTGGTTCAACATTAGTAGTCGTAAAACAAAAAAATAGGTTAGCCGTTCAACAATGGTTATAAAATATAAAATAAAATAATGGTAACATAAAATTAACAGGAAATTAAAATATTTTAGAAAAATAAAAGTGCTTGTTCAAAGTCACACAAACAACATGTTCATAATAGGAAAGCGCCCCTAGCAGCATAAGATGACATTTCCGGTCATGGTTTCCTAGGTAATTCTTAATCCTTATGACGTGCCCTACTTCCCCTACAAGTTTGTCACAACATTTAGGGGATACCCTGTATAATTTGACGCTGTGTTCTTCTTTCTGAACATTTAAGAATAATTTTTTTGGTCATATTCAGTAATTCTCCTTTGAAACTATAAACAATTCAAATCTGTTTATGGAAACAATGTTTGCAATCATTTTGACTTATATAAGCGTTTTTCAATCATTTTTTGGTATTCAAATTTATTTTTATACATGTTTGGCTCTCAAATTTGTTAGGAACAACTATCTAACGAAAATTAGTCCTTTGCAAATAAATATATGCAATAACATTCTGCAACGACAATTTATTGTATAATATCTGAAGTGTACAGTGTATAAGTCTCAAATTGATGAGAATTACTATCAACTTTATGAATTATTCAGTTTCCATTTGATATTATTCAAAGTTCATTTTAATCCTATAACTCACAAAAGTTTTGTATATCATTAGTTTTCCAATTCCATTAACGTGCATGCTGTTCATATTTCTATATATTCCTTCTAATTAACTTATGCTATTAAAGATTGTAATTCCATATCAGAATTTAGAACTTGATATTAAGTAAAGATAATAGGAGAAAACGAGTTAAAAGATTGCTTAATGAGAGTTAGAAAAACTATTTTCTTAATTGGCTTGAATCGATTAGTCAAAGATCCAAAAACGTATTTCAGGATTCTTCGTTTTCAATAACATAAAATTACGTAATTATAATGTTTCTTTTCTGTTATATAAACCATTTAATTAGTCACAGATTCATTGAAAACAAAAATGGCTTTTGTATTAATGAAAAACAGACAAGAGTGTTAATTTTGTCATGTTAATATAAAATATTTTATAACTTTTTCTATTTAATGGAAGCAATTTTCTTAATGTTTTGATAATTATTTTCGTGGACTGTTTCTATAAATTTTATATGAAAAAGCATCTTATCATTTTGCCGGCATCTAGCATTTTAACAAAAAAGAATGAAAGTTTATCTTCGTTTTGAGTAATATATATTTACACTGTAAAAATCTTTAGTGTATCTTTAGTGTATCTTTAATGTATTTTAACGTGTATTGTTAGTGTATCTTAACGTGTATCTTTAGTGTATCTTAACGTATATCTTTAGTGTATCTTAACGTATATCTTTAGTGTATCTTAACGCGTATCATTAGTATATCTTAACGTATATCTTTAGTGTATCTTAATGTATATCTTAAGTGTATCTTAACGTACATCTTTAGCGTATCTTAACATGTTTCTTTAGTGTATCTTTATGTCCTCTTCTACGCATATGTTTAATTTATAAACTTATTTTAAGAGTTGGTGCACGTATGCAACCTAAGTTACAAACATTTACTTTGTATTGTCTCATAAAAATATATTTACTGATTCTTATGTGTATCATATCTTATTGTAATTAAAAACTTTAGAGATACTAAATGATAAACAAGTTGGGTGGGGGCAACTACTTTACTCCAAAGTGATGTTCCACCATTTCAAAACTCAAGGATCATTCCTGCTGCTGTGATACACCTAGAATGCTCTTTAACGCTATTTGTTTAAGAGTTGCTGCCATCAACCATCATATTTGTAATTGAATATCACTAAAATTTATAACTACAATATTAGATATTATATGGCCGATATAACCTGGTTGGTAGGGTGTTTGTCTCATGTCCAAGAGGTCTTCAGTTCGATCCCTGCCGGCCGAAAGACTGTCTGTGAATGGTGAATAAATGGATGAATAAATGAATGTATGAATGGGTCAGCCCTATAAACAAGCTGTGACGTGTGTGTGGGTGAAGTCGTATTCCTGGCCATAGATGGCGCCACTGAAGAGTAATAAGTGAGCCCTCTGCCTTAAATTCGCTTGGTTTTATGTAACAGGCTTGATGA